AATATCTTTACAAGGGGATATAAAATTTTTACTCACAATTTTTCTCGCTTTTCGATATTAGTGCAGAGCAAAATTATATGTAGAAAACATTAAATTCCTTACTATTTATTATAAAAAGCAATTAACTAAAGGATTGTGTTAAACTTTTAATTGGACCCCTCTCAAAATGTCAAAGAGCCACGGATCCTTTCTGAGGTTAAAAGACCCTGACCTAGATGTGCATTTGCTAAGTCTGGACAACATTGTTTTTACCAAAAATCTTTTGCATGAATTACCAGGATATTATAACGTAATACGAATAGATTAAATATAGACGATCTTATAATTTTCTGCATAGATAAGTTTCAAGGAATTAAAATTGTTACTTCTTTTTTTACGAAGCCGACTAAACCACGTGTTCGTTGTTCTGTTGGCCCCCTTTGCAAAACTCAAAATAATCTTTATTTCATAGGTAAGCATTATTACACTTGAAATCGTCACAAAGGTTAGACTCTACCGCTCATTCGTAAGGCAGATTCCCCTGAGAAGAATGAGCAAGAAACTCTAGGGGTTGCTCTTTGTAAATAGCATTTACAATATTTTTTTATTTTTATTTGAAACATCAGAGATCGAGACTACCTCCATGAGCTAAACGGGTTACTACCACGGATTTTTGTCATCCAAGTACGCAGAAGTAGTATAATAACCTTTAGTATAAAGTTTTTGTTTCACTATAGTTTTAAACCTCGAGAAAGGCAAATTTTGTATATCAACCGGAATCTTGTTATAGAAGCTTATACATTGCCCCTTAAATGATTTTTTGACTTTGTGAAGACGACTATCAAGAAAAGCTAGTTTATTTCTATTCCTCGTATTAATGTTATGTCTGTCACTATTTTTCATAAATAAATTACTATTCCTTTTAACATAAATTACATTTTCATAAATGTACTGTGAGGCTAGTGTAAGAATGTTAATTTCCTTAAACTTATCTCTCAAAGATACTTTGGGGCCCAGATTGTAAATTGCCCTAACTGCACGTTTCTGCAGGACAAAGATTCTATTGATATCGGCGGCATTACCCCAAAGCAAAATGCCGTATGTCATTAGACTGTGAAAGTAACTGAAGTAAACCAATCTAGCGGTTTCGACGTCTGAAAGTTTCCTTATTTTTTTAATCGCGTACACTGCAGAGCCGAGCCGTTTTGATAACTTACTTATATGGGGACCCCATTGCAATTTAGCATCTAACGTTATACCTAGAAATACAACTGTATCCACAAGATTCAATTTTTCATTTCTAACTACAATGTTTGTAACCGTCTCTCTAACATTGGGTAATGTAAATTTCACACAATTTGTTTTTTTCTCATTAAGAAGTAGGTTATTAACAGCAAACCAATCAATTACTTTAGATATAGCATTGTTCACATCGTCATAGGAACATTGGTGCCTTTTAACTTTAAATAATAAGGAAGTATCATCAGCAAACAATACTATCTCATGTTTTATACTCTCCATAAGGCTAGGTAAGTCATTAATATAAACTAAAAATAAAAATGGGCCTAGAATTGAACCTTGAGGGACACCCATGCTAATTGCAGATCCTGACGATCTCGTACCGTTAACATCGACCCTCTGTACCCTACCACGCAAATACGATTTAAGAAGGTCGAGATCACGTCCCGCCACACCATAATGGCGAAGTTTCCTGACCAGTGTATCATGGTGCACACAATCAAAAGCTTTGGAAAGGTCACAGAATACACCAATAGCATCATGTGAAACTTCCCATGCATCAAATATATGATTTGATTAATCGACTCACACCAGCATCGGTTGTAGAGCGACCCCGAGTGAAACCAAATTGCTTAGGAGACATTAAGTTATTACTGTAAAAATGTGCACACATCTGATTTAGAATAATTTTTTCAAATATTTTACTGAGAGTTGGTAGTATTGATATAGGTCTGAAATTGGTGGGGTCAGAAATACTACCAGATTTGAAAAGTGGAATAACTTTACTTTGCTTCATGAGGTCAGGAAAGACACCATCATCAACACATTTATTAAAGACACAGGCCAAATAAGGCGCAATACAATCAACTATAGAACTAATAACTCTGACTGAAAGACCATCAAGATCAGCTGTATTTTTTATGTTTATAGACTTAAAGGCTTTAACAATATCGTTTGGAAATACATGACGGAACCTTAAATTAGTGATACTAACTGCATTATTTTCTTTTAGTAAGGATTCAGCGGCGGTGGGAGATGAATTTAACGACTTAGTAGTCAAAATTGGAATGTCAGTAAAAAAAATTTCAAATATTTTAGCAACTTCTGCGTCTGTGTTTACAATTTTGTCATTAAATCTTAGTTGAAAATCTAAGTTACGAGGTTTGACCCTTCCAGTTTCGCTGTTTATAATATTCCAAGTCGTTTTTACTACATTCGCGCTGCTTTTTATTTTATTATTTATAAACATTGCTTTGGCTGCAACACAAACACGTTTAAACATTTTCGAATATTTCCTAACAAAATCATTAAAACTGTTACTAGTGTTATAAGTCCTTTCATCGTAAAGATCATATAGTCTTTGTCTACTTTTGTGAATTCCCACAGTCGCCCAATCACTAAATTTCAATGAATTATTAATAGTTATGATTTTGGACCTAAAAACGTTATCACGTTCACTTTTGACTATGTTGAAAACTGAATTATACAATTTATTGGGATCGTTAACGTACGGAAGTTCAGTTAGTTTAAGCATTACATTATTTCTATAAGCTTTAAGTCGACCATTATTTATCGGAACACATGTGATATCCTTTTTTGGCATTTTGTCAACAGTTATATTAAAAGTGGCCAATTGACCGCAGTGATCAGAAGTTAATTTATTTATAATAGATTTATTACTAGGTACGGCGTTAGTATAAATATTGTCTAAACAAGTGGCAGTAGTAGAAGTTATTCTAGTAGGCACCAAGAAAAGATTCACAAGATTATAACATTGGAAAAATGATATGAGCCTACTGCTAGCACTGGAATCTTCTAATAAGTTAACATTGAAGTCACCACAAACAGCAATATATTTATTTGGATTATTTAATTTGCCTAAAACTTCATCTAATCTTTTTTCAAATAGTTCGTAAGATGAATGAGGGGGTCTGTACACGCTTAATATAACAAGCCGTTCAAGCTCTATGCAGGATATCTCTATAGTCCGCTCAATAGATAGGCTCACAATATCTGTACGTTCTTTAAATTTTAAATGATTTTTAATAAGAATCAAAGAGCCGCCATGAATAGCTTTTTCTCTGCTGAACGAACTAGCCACCTGGTGATTGTTGAAGCTAAACATGAACTGATGTTTTGATAGAAAGTGGTGTTCAGTAATACACAGAATATCAATATTATTACAGTTAATAAATAATTCTATTTCTAACTCTTTGCCTTTCATGCCTTGAATATTTTGATGCACCAGGTTTAATATACAATTTATTTTATTTCTGTGTGTGTTTGCGTGTTTTAAATGCGCTAAAAACTTACTATGAGAAACAATATTACACCAAGCAGCGCACACCCGTAGGTATATCAGTTTGCTCGCAACGTATTTTTACTGCAGCAATAATGGAGGGAAGGAATGCTGACGATTTTCCCAACTCATAATGTTAGGTAGATAAAAGACGAGCCCGCGCTCAATCAAATTGTTGGTTGGTGCATAATGTGCGCTGCCGTGCGGTGTGGCGTAGCGAGGCGGCGGAGTCTCCATTCTCCAATGATTATGAAGTATGGGCGATCAATTTCACAGCCGTCGCTCAAAGCCGCCGCCGCCCGCCGCCGCCGCCCTGTCTCTCACCCCCCAGCGCCCCGCCACCGCCCGTCACAGACTGAATTTCAGAAAGGCACACGGTTAACATTATTTTCTCAACCATGTGAAAACCCTTGCGTTACTTTCAAAAAAAGAACACAAAGGTTGACGTTTACAGAACATACAACTTTTTTATTTAAAAAAAAACTGACTTCAAAGGTTTGTGGAATTGAAATCAGTTGACGGAAAGTGTGTGAAATCCAATAAACCAGATTCATCCCCTAGTTTGCCACTCTTAGGGTCGTATTCCAGAACTCTACTCAACGCTCAAGTCAGAATTTTAGCAGACTTGAGTATGATCTCAAGCACTGGAAATACGACCCTAATGGCAAGGACTTGAGTATGATTTTCAGTGCTCAATGCAATACTCAAGTCCTGACTTGAGGTGGCATATTATCTCCAAATTTGAATGGGTAGTGGTCCCAGAGGTACCGCCTTTCTATTAAGAAAAAAAATCAACGAAATTGGTTCACAAATGTCGGAATAGGTAATCACGAAACAAAAAAATACAATCGAATTGAGGTCCTCTTTTTTGAAGCCGGTTAAAAACACCAGCTTTCTTGTCCTAAAAGTAAGTAAGACAATCCATTTTAATTCGCTACTCTAAACTTTTAGATCTGTCTACTAACTATGAATTAATAAACAGACTAAAGAAACCTGCAATACAGCCAACTGCCCATTAAACATTGTCCACAATTGCGAAAATTAAATAAAAACAATTGCATATGGTACTCGTATTACTTTATTGCACTTAATTATGGTGCACGGACATACCTGCACCACATACACTCATTAAAAAAACATAATGGTGGAAAGTTATATGTTAAAAATATATCCTGCATTCTTTAGTCTTCTATTATTTCATCGCTTTTTGAAAAAAGCGTCTCAGCTTGAGATGGGATCACTCAAGTTCCGGCCACTTTCATTATCTACTATTTCTAGACATGAAGCACTATTAAAGATAGGTACTTTAATTAGAAAATAACTCTTTTATAAATGATATTCCACCTAAAATTACTCGTTACTCAGAAAACTTGTTTTTCACTATCCATGACTTTATACGTAGTCTGTGGCATTAGGGGTGAGCGTGGATTCAGCGGGCGGAGAGGGCGGCACGGGCAGGTACCAACCACCATATCGCCAACACCGCAGCCGGAGCTCGTCGTTACTTCACTATATTTGTGGCGTTAGTAGCAAGGCCTCCATTTTTCACAGCTGTCGAACAATTTTCCGTTCGCCCACTCCACCAAATGACTATAAACAATAACGTGTAGGTACTTAAATTTTCCTCATCTTCATAATAAACTTTTATTATAAATATTAATCAGTAATCAGGATACTCTGAGATGGAATTGGATTTAAAAACTACAAACAGACAACTGTCAAAACACAATTTATGAACACTTTGTTTACATTTGGACTTTAATTCCATCTCAGAGTATATACAGTGGTGGTCATATTATGTATTTTGCCGCCTTTTCTTACTTATTTTGTTAGGTTACCTAAGATCTGGCAAAATTATTAGAAATGGGTAACAAGAAAGATTTAGTGAATTTACATTTAAAACGAAAATGGACGTACCGGACCATCGCTGATCATTTAGAGAGTTCCATAAAAATGGTATCTAACGCCATTGCACATTTCAAAAAACATGAAACATCGGATAAAGTGCCAAGAAAAGGTCGGCCACGGAAGACCGCTGTTCAAAAAGACAGGCTTGTTATTCGTTTAACTAAGCCGGCCCCATTATATAGTTCTTTATAAAATTATATATATTTATATATCATGCCAACTATGGCTAAATAGGTACCTATATTTATTACATTTAAACTTATACATTGTTGCGAACTGTCTAAGGTATAAGGAAAATAATAATCTATGGGAAAATTTACTAATAAATTACTCCGGCGGTAAATTTTTTGTACATGTTTGTAAGATGCAAAAGCAACACCACTAGAAGTTAAACTACAAGAAATAGGAATGTAATGTTTCCCTCGTTGTTATAGGCATGTAAATAAGATATCGTAGCTGCAGCCGGTGGCAGCAGCAATTACCCTAACTAATGAATGTCATATATGGTGTTTATGGCGCAACATGTCGTAGAAGGCCCGCGACCGCGTCTCCGTGTGACCGGTCCGCCTCGGCGCACCGCGAAAGGCGCGCCCAAGCTATTATCTGTTACGTGGCCGTCTTAATGCGCCTGCAAATAGATGCAGTTGCCTTCCGTGCACCTGATTTACACTTGCAGTTTTTGCTTGATTGAAATTCAATCATATATGTATGTTTAATGAAGAGCGGAGCGACCGTCACCGGCGCACGAATCGGCGGTGAGTGAATCATGGGAGCGGTGGTGTGGTGGTCTGACGCGCAGTGGCGGCTCTTCCGGCTGCTGATTCTTTAATTAAACATGCATAAATTACGCTGCGGCCGTAAATCAATCGGCAGGCGATGCGACGGGACAGGGCTGCGGCGCGGGCGCGGACACGACGCTCACTCTATAATTACGCGCACTCTGCTCAATGGACATGACGGACGGACAGGAGACTTCAAACGCGCGTCGTTAGCATTCTAGCTCATCGCTTGCCGCGCATTGTATCGATATATTTCCTACGCACTGCATACCACCGAATCATAAAGCACGCTCCGCGCAAGATTTATGCGCCGATCGTTCTACCGTCTGCAGGACTCGCACGGCACAAGTATATAATTTTTACATGATATGTAAGAATTCATCATCTGTTCGAATACATTATGTCCAATTTAAATGCCTCTGTAGTTTTTATGGAAAGTAGTTTACATAAATTATGAGTGATCGTTACACGGCAGCAGCCTGTCACGACTTTCATCTAGGTACTGGCTCGTCGGCGCTACGGAGGTACGATCTCAAGGTAACTATGAGTTTTACGTGGCGAGTTAATTTGTTGACTGTTAAAATGTTTTAAATCGACTCGTCTTTTGTTCGGTAGTCGTTAAGAATAGCCGCGGCGAAGCGGCGCGGGCGCAGCGGTGGACCGCGGGGCAGAGGCGGGTGATATATCGCGCGCCGGTTACCAATTACACAATTCGTTGTCGTTTTGTCGTGTTACCGAGCTATTCCCAGAAGCGAACGATTTCTTCAGCTCGCATCTACACGTATCACAGAAAATAGCAACTAAATAAGCTCTTTTGTTCGGTTTCGATGCAACCAACTGTAATTTAGTTTAGCGACAGATTTATAGAGCAGACGCAGAGACAGCTGAAGCTCTTTCGAGGTAGCTTTAAGTTATCTCGTTCGCGGAACCTAGCAGCACACTGCCGGTGACTGGACGCCGCTTGATGGAATTCGATACTAGAATTGTTTTTGTCTGTTTTTATAGAGCGAGCGAGTGACTAACGATATTTTCTGTGAGATAGAGCGGCGGCGCGTTCCCCGAAGCGGCGGCGGCGGCGCGGCTCTTGCTATTGAGAAACGATTTGAATTTCTAAAAGCGACGGTTCCCACGCGCGAGATGTATCCATTCCATGCCGCGTCGCCGCTAATTGTATCCCCATTTATTATTAATGCGTTCAACAATGGCCCGTGTGTTTTCGCACCGCTCGTTTTTCCTGCGCCGCACATATCTCGAGCTGCACGCCGAGCGAGCTGGCGCGCCGCCAACAATGTCATTGTGGTGCCGTCCCCCCACCCCGCCGCCGCCGTATATCGCTGACTGTATATCACATGACGTCACACGGTAAACGTCTCAAGCATTCACAGTTTCAATTAGAAATTTGCCAAACAGCCAAGCGGCGACATTAATTGAGAGAATTCGCCGGATGCCATTTCAGACATTCCATTATTGAACGTCGAGCTCGAAATGCGCGCGGATTAGTAACACGGTATTAACTCATTTGTAGTTCAATTTGTAATGTAAAGAAAGTAATCCAATAGACGGATGAATGGCCGCGTGCGCCCGAGAGGAAGAACAATGACAATAAAGGCGCACGACCGCGCCCAACCCCGCGCCCCGCCTGCCGTCGGGGCGCGTCATCAAAGCAAGTATGCGGATCGTTCAGGGCTCGCTGTCGCCGCGAAAAAACTAATAAAAGGCGATATTACGAGCGCAAATGTATGGTTGGGTTGCGAGCTACGACAACCCTCGCGCCCTCCGCAATTCCTCGCATGTCACGCACTATACATCCCCCCGAGCACTCTACCTCTACCTACCTACCACCCATAACTCTCAGCCTACGACGTAAATGGTATGCAGATACATTAATTTGGTATAATAGAAACTTGTATTGGATAACATCTCGAGAGACCCGTCTCTTCGGACATCTTTTAGTTACTAATTCGATGCTATCATCAAACGCTTAAGTCTAGCTGCCCTCTGATGTGCCGAGGGGACTCTCACTCAAGTGAGTCAATAAGCGCATTCCGGGTGCAGCGCGCCGAATTAAAAATCAAATAATGTTGTGTAGAGCGAATTACCGGTCTCAGCCCATCCACGCCGCTAGCGGCTAGGGCTGATCCAAACAATACCGCTCTTTTTGTTGCTCTCATTCATTCTGTTCGAGTCCCCATTGTTCGGCGTGAAGAAAAACAACGGCATTTTTAAATTGAATTTTTGCAATCCTTTAACGAAGTGCCCGATCATTTTTAATTTTTACACCACTGACTGGTACAGTGATATCGCTTTGTTTTTTTGTAAGGACTTTCGTAATGTGATATTAACAAAATGTTATTACTCGTATTTACGTCTACCAAATTGATACGTAAAATGGTACAGATGATACTTTAAGAGATATTCCCTCAATTTAAACTTTAATATTCAATGAGCTTCAGCATTAGGTTCTTTAACTTGATTAGTACTGCGGCCGCGTGATCGGCGTACAATGGCTGTGAAATATTTTTTTCGATTTAGAAAAATACACTAAAACATTGTTTAAATCATTATTTGTATTCATTTTCAACGTTTTTATACTTTAACTTATATCTACTTTAGCAGTATCTATATAGGTCCTGTTACTAAATATAATCAACTTGAAGAATGTTTGTTAAAAAGGTTTTTAACTTAAATCTAGTATGAATAGGATATACTAGCAGGAGTACAATTCTTCTTAATTATATGAAATTATTGTAATTGTAATTGTAGTTGTAATAATTAGTAAACAGTTAACAAAGAAACGGATACTACATTAAAACAAAAGAAACTTTCGATCGTGTAAAAACCGTCGGCGGCGCGGTATAAATTCGTAGTACTGGTATGTCTATAGATGTAGATTGCAGACTGAGGAATTCGTGATTCTGAAAGGCATAGAGCGAGAGAACGGATAACAATAGGGACCGAGCGGACGGCAGCCCTAGCACTCGAGCAGGGCAGGGGTCAGGTCAATATGTCCGCTAATGAAAAGTTTAATAACGCGCCGCACGTGTGCCCCCGCGCCGCGCCCTCACCCCGCGAGGTGCACAATTTATTGCAAGTAATTTCGCATGTCATAAAACCGAATTAATATTGTCGAGGGCGGGCGCCGTTCGTTGTGACTATTAGTCAAATCGCATGGAGCAGCAAGTGATCTCGGGTGAACACTTGCGCTCTGGTACTATTGTCTGTTTGTGAATCAATTCGGGACGCCAGACGACGGCGAGTGCGGGGGACACCGCGCCGCGCACGTGGCCCCACAAAAAACTTGATGCTTCAATAACTCAGCAACAATTAGCAAACGATCGCAGCCGATGACGTGTTTACAAAACACGAGACGTTACCGCCACATGCCGCGAATATATCTTCCTTTGTCGCTTATTGTCATTACGACTCAAGAAAATTATGAAACAATTGTTGTAAGTATTAAATTGACACAACAATAAAGTACCGCAGATTTTTATTCGGTAAATAAATAGCATTGGTAGCTCTATGGGAGAAAACGATTGCTTCTGATTTGAGAGGTGAAATTACAGGCACATGAGACTTGTCAACTTATGTGTCAGAGTGTGTCGGGCGCAGTGGCAGTGCCCCTCAGGTCTTTGCGATTTAAAGCTCTGAGTGGCACTGCCACTTTTATGGGCAAGCGTGTAGCTTAGCATCAGGCACGATTTGTTCGTCCCGTCCATTTGATATTATAAAAAAATAACAGTTCCGAATCCAAGAAAAGATGGTCCGAAATGTCCCATGGATCATTTTATCTCTAGGTGTACAAGCGATATTCGGAGTTGCGTTATGTGTTTGCTAGTTGGTGCCGATATGTTATTAACCCTTGCCTCTGTTTCGTGAAGAAAGAGCTACTACATCGGCTTT